GAGTTAATTTGCGATGTGAACATATTATCCCACATTTTTTAGGTATATTCAGGTGAGACCGATTTTCGCACCGTATCTGTGTTCCAACTAGAGTATCGACTTTATATTAGATGAATTGCTAGTTAGAAGTATTCGGATCCTAATCACTGAACTAATAGCAGAAACTTTTTCCTTCCATTTAGCAGTCCATTCAGCCAGAGGAGTTTTGAAACCATATGACAACCGCGAATTGAATTCTGTGAATGCTCGCGGAGGAAAGCCACATGTTCGCTTCTGACAGCCTTCTCTAAGTATGGCATTAACTGGTCAGAAATAGTATAGGTAAAAAAGCATGTTTACATGTTCCAGTCAAATTTGTTAATTAGAGGAGCGACAGTGAACAGAGTTCAGACTAATTAATTGCAATGACTAAAGCTGTCTTAAAAAAGCTGTTTTGTTGTAAGCTTGTGACCATCAGTTCGCTGACAGGTTGAAGAAGCAGAAACCACCTTCCTCGGTACAGTCGATAAGCGATACTTTCAGCGATGAACAGAAGAAAATGATGCTAAACTGGCCAAAGAGCAGAAATCCTATATTAACAGGAAAGATTGTTCACAAAAGTCAAAAAGACAGTAAGACTGGCGATGAAACATCGTTTGAAAGTATTTCTGAGATTCATCTGCCGCTAGCATGTTGTCAACACCGAGAGATGTGAAATTCTGCAGCACGTACTTCGTCGCATGATAGAAATCCAAATCGGGTACACCCCATGCTGATTATAATATTGGATAAAGTAAAGGCAAAGTGCAGAGACAGGCATGTTAGACCGTATGGGAAGCAAATCGTTCACTCTGGCTTGCCAGACAAGAATACCATACTGTCTCTATTATTCGCAAGTCACCGACTTAACTTATTAGAAACGTGGATTCGAACCCAGTACCTTCGAGCTTCGAAGCTGACCTTTAAAACACTGTGCCACGCAAAATATGAATTATTAATTTCCTAAAGAAATTAATGGTTTGGACATGCATGCGTTGCGAATGCCTCCAGAAAGGAAGGCTAAGAAATAAAAAGATAAAGAAATTAAAATATAAGACAAATAAGTAGGAGTATATCATTACAGTGACAGCTGAAATACAGCATAAAACACGGTTTATTAATATACAACGCAAAAAATAATATGGTGAATCAGATGATTGACGACTACCGACATTTCGGCTCGCATCTCCTCACGAGCATTCTTAAACGTAGGAGGTTGGTAGGTTTGTAACTAGAAGGCAAGGTTTTAATCCGTGGTGCTGGAATTATGGTAAAATCAGGGGCAACGCCATCTGCGGTCTGCGGACGATATTCTGAACCTCCAAATGTCACTAGGAAAATTGCATAGAAGAATCCAAGAGCTGACCGATGGAAACATCAAAGTAGGACTTAAAATGAACCTGAGGAAGACCCAGGTGATGTTTAACAAATAATGGACCCCATGACCTGATCAATTTGAAGAAGTGCCGAGCTTTATCTGAGATAGACTCTCTGTACAATGCAGAACCGACCGTGTGAAATCAACAGAAGATACGAAATGGCATGAGGCGCTTTTGGAAAACTGAAAATTTTTCCATCCTGAAAACAAACATTGTGCTTCTTCTCTGGATGCAAAACGTGTAACCTAAGCCTGAAAGCCATTCATAAACTACAGTCCACGCAACGCAGCATAGAAAAATGCCTGTTGGGGATAAGAAGAAAAGACCTGAAGACCAATGAATGGGTAAGAGCACAAAGAAGAGTCCGCGATTTAATTTCATGAATGAAAAATTTAAAGTGACAATGCACAGGACATGTTGAAAGGAGAACCGACTATCGCATGGCCGAAAGGACGTTAGATTGGGTTCCGAGAAAGAGAGAGAGATAGAACCAGAAAAATAAATATCTGTAGGAAGACCTTCAGATCGAAGACAGGGTAAGCTGAAATAGCTCATTGGATCAGGGTGGATGAAAACAGCAGATAGCAGAAGTCCATAGCAAAGTTTTAAAGAGTCATTCATCCAGCAGCGGATCGAGAAAGGCTAAGGGTAATTGATTTTTACTGATGTTGAAATCTCCGGTGAAGCCTTGAAAAAACAACCATGTAATAAATTCGCCCATTAGTTTGGATAGATTCGATACCTGGCATACCCTCTAATAACAACAAATCGATGAAAAAGGAGGCCCACCACCGCAGCACAGTTTTCGTAATAGATGATGTTCAACGTAAATCCCATGTTCAACGTGATGTTCTGGTTTGGAGTGATTCACAGTTCACAGTAATCCGTAAAGAAGAGTGCCGTGACGAGCAAAAGTCGATTTCTGATGCATCTTTCATAATTACTGAAACGTTCATGATATGATCTCCCGCGATCTCCGATAAATTTGAATTCCTATTATTCGTCCTTGACTTCTCTTC